GAATAGATATTGGAATGAAGAATAGAATAGAATAGAATAGAATAGAACAGTTGGAAGGGACCTTGGAGGTCTTCTAGCCCACCCCGCCTGCTCAGGCAGGAACCCCTATACGATTTCAAACACATCTGAATCAAAACCAGCAATTCACCCCGATATTTTGGGGGAAGCAGCTGATTAAGGAACTGTTCATCACCCTGCCTCTGGGTAATCCCGGATATAAATCCAGAGATCTTCCAGAAACACTTTCCATCCTGGATGTGCTGCAGTGGTGGGATTCAAATTTTTTTACTACTGGTTCTGTGGGCGTGGCTTGGTGGGCGTGGCTTGGTGGGCGTGGCAGGGGAAGGATATACTGCAAAATCCCCCTTCCCTCCCCACCCCACTAACCTGCTTTCCAGCTCCGTTCTCCTGTGCAGGGCAACCAAAGGAGACCCAGCCGATCAGCTGGGACTCAACGGGAGGTAGAGAATAGATGGGGTTGGAGGAGCCAGTCAGATGTGCTGGTTAACAGGCCTTCTGTTTTCCTTCTGTCCTTCTAGCCGCAAAACTATGGATTTCTCCTCCAGACGTCCTGGAAGGGAATTCTGTCAACCTGACCTGTGCCATTGACTCGGATGCCGTCGGGGAGATGCACTATGTCTGGTTTAAGAACAGCGAGTGGTATGCAGAAGGCCTGGTCCAGACTCTGATGTTCCACCAGGCGGCCATAGAAGACGCCGGCACCTACTACTGCACCGCCCACACGCGGGAAAGGATGCGCAATTCCTCCTTAAGCACCTTGAATGTCCTCTGTAGGTCCTGGAGGGGTGAGGCGGGGTTGGAGAGCTGGATCGGGTGGCGTTATGCAACCTGCTTCCCGCTAAGTGAGGCTACACCTCCAGAGTGTCATGGCCTTAAGGATGAGGGGGCGGCTGGGGAAATGGTGTCCTTTTTGAAATATCTGCTTCGGGTCCTGAGTGAGCTTGGACCTTTTCTTGCAGATGTTTCATTAACAGATTTCGTAATGTTACTGGTGCTAGAAGGGAATGGGGTTTGCAGAGAGGAGGAGGAGGAGGAGGAGGAGGAGGAAAAAGACTGTGGGGTTCTTGGTGCTTTCTGGGGTTGGTTTCTTCCTTGAAGACATCTCACTACCCAACTAGGTAACATCCTCAGCACTAGAAGGAAGTGGGTTGTGTGGAAAGAAACAGGAAGAACAGGAGGAGGAGGAGGAGGAGGAGGAGGAGGAGGAGGAGGACTATGAGCCATTGAAGCCCTCTGACCTCAGTTATTTTGTTGCAGACGTTTCATTACCCAGCTAGGTAATATCAACTGGGGCAAACTAGCACTGTTGATGTTACCTAGTGACCAGAATAAAAGAGTTACAAAGGACCTTGGAGGTCTTCTAGTCCAACCCGCTCCTCAAGCAGGAGACTTTATACCATTTCAGACAAATGGTGGCCCAGCCTTTTCTTAAAAACCTCCACTGATGGAGCACCCACCACTTCTGGTGGCAGGCTGTTCCACCGGTTAATTGTTCTCACTGTCAGGAAATTCCTCCTTAGTTCCAGGTTGCTTCTCTCTCTCTCTCCTTGATCAGTTTCCATCCATGGTTTCTTCTCTGGCCTTCGGGTGCTTTAGAGAATAGCTTGACCCCTTCTCTTCTTTATGGCAGCCCCTCAAATTACCGGAATGCTGCTCTCATCTCCCCTTCTAGCTACCTGACTAGCCAAACTCAAATCCTGCAACAACCACTCTTCCTATCTTTTAGTCTCCAGCCTTTGATCATCCTACTTTCCTCTTCTCCGCCCGTTTCTCAAAGTCTCAACTGTTCTTCAGGAGGGTCTCAGGTTCTTATCCAGGCAACGGGCTGGAACCAGGGATGGGATTCAGCTGGTTTAGACCAGTTCGAGCGAACCGGAGGGTAAATTTGCACCTGGTTCGCCAAACCGGTATTTGAACGGACCGGCTGGGCCTGTCCACCCCTTCCCTCCCTTCTCCTCCCAGGAGTCTCCACGCAGCCCATTTTCAAATCAGGTAAGGGCAGACTCGACGCGGAGGCTCTGGGAGGAAGAAAAACGGGCCTTCCGGTAGTACCGGAAGTCACAAAACAGGCCTGTTTCTGGCTTCCGGAGGCCCTCCAGAGCCTGTGGGAGGCCATTTTCACACTCCCAGAGGCCCGACGGAAGCCTCCGGACCCTGGGGAAGGCAAAAAATGGGGCTTCTGGTAGTACCGGAAGTCACAAAATGGGCCTGTTGCTGGCTTCCAGGGGAGGCCATTTTCACCCTCCCAGAGGCCCGAGGGAAGCCTCCGGACCCTGGGAAAGGCGAAAAATGGGCCTCCAGGAAGTTCCAGTTGGCCACGCCCACCATGGCCACCCAGCAACCCATCCGGCAACCAGGCAGCGAACTGGTTTGCTGGGATTTTTGAATCCCACCCTTGGGTTAAACTAGAAAGCCTTCCAAGGTCTCTTCCAACCCTAGGGGTCCATGCGTCCATGACCTATCTATGGCTTGATATCTCTCTCTCTCTCTCTCTCTGCTCTTTTTCTGGAAGATCCACCCAGGAATGTGCTGGTCAAGTCCTTCTTGGAGATCCAGAAAGGCCAGGTGGCCATCATCCTGTGCACCGCTGACAGCAACCCGCCTTCCGTGCTTTCCCTTCGTCGTGATGACCAAGTCTTGGCGTCCACCACCTCCAAAGTCCGTGGGGCGCCAGGCCTGAAGCTGAGGGCTGCTTCCTCCCCAAATTCCTTGAGGCTGGAGATCCGAGACGTCAACCTGAAGGATGAAGGGCGCTACGAATGTTGGGCGAGCAACTCTCTTGGCCAAGCCCAGGCGTCATTCAACCTCTCCGTGGAGAGTGAGTAAGAGGGCTCAGGGCTTAGAACAGGGGGTCCCCAACCTTTGCCACTTTAAGACTTGTGGACTTCAACTCCCAGAATTCCTCAGCGAAGCTGGGAGTTGAAGTCCACAAGTCTTAAAGTGGCAAAGGTTGGAGACGCCTGCTGTGTAGGACATGGAGTTCCTTCTGGTCCATCATGTGTTTGATAGGTTGGTGAAGGGTCCAAAGGGTAAAAGAAGAAAATTTAGGGGCGATGACTGAGGTTGTTCACTCAATCCATTTGTTTCATGGAGAGTAAGTAAGCACACTTACAAGCCATCACTCTGCAAAATCCCTTTTCCTAGAGAGGGAGTAATACAACAGGGACAGGAAATGCATCATGGGAACAATAGAGATGAATCCTAGAGTGGCAATGTGATCCAGTGAACAACTACAATAGAGAGGAATGCATATAAGGTATATATGCATACCTTACATGCATTCCTCTCTATTGTAGTTGTTTACTGTACCTTATGCATATAAGGTAGACATAACACCTGTAGCACCATTGGCTCAAGTTGTAAGTTATTCTGTCAGACAGACAGACAGATTAACAGAGTTGGAAGGGACCTTGTAGGTCATCTAGTCCAACCCCCCGCCCAAGCAGGAGACCCTACACCATTCCTGACAGATGGCAGTCCAATCTTTTCTTGAAAGCTTCCAGTGATGGCGCTCCCACAACTTCTGAAGGCAACTGCTGTTCCATGGATTGATTGTTCTCCCTGTCAGAAAGTTTCTCCTTATATCCACTTGAATCTCTCCTTGATAGTTTCCATCCATTGTTCCTTGTCTGGCTTTCGGGTGCCTTGGAGAATAGCTTGACCCAATCCTCTCTGTGGCAGCCCCACCAATATGGGAAGACTGCTATTCTGTCTCCCCTGGTCCTTCTCTTGACTAGACTAGCTAGGCCCAGTTCCTGCAACTGTTCATCGTATGGTTTAGCCTCCAGTCCCCTAATCCTCTTAGTGTCAAAGCTCCAGCAGTTACCCCCATTTAAATCATGAGTCTCGAGCCAAACTTCCAAAACTTCAAAAGGATTTATTGGGAGTTAACATGCCGGCACTGCCTGGGTGTAGCCGACTCTGAGACACATCATTCATTGTCACCCTTGACCCAGGTTTTCCCTCCACCCCCTAGGTGTATCGGAATCCATATTCTCCAATGGGACACATCCCTAGCTGTTATGTCTCACCTGTATCCACAGGTGAGCAATCAAAATTCTAAAGTTCCAAAAATATAAGCAATCAAAAACAAACCCCAACAAAGTTAACTGCTGAGGTTCTTCCAGTCCTCAGCAGTAATTCTGAAATCTGGCAATCCTGAAGTGCCTATAAATCACAAAGCCTTAGAGAATCTTCACAGTACTTTCGCTCCAACAATACACTTTGCTTCTGGCAAATTTCTCAAGCCAATCCGTTTCCTTTTATCCCCTAAAGGGGGCGTGTTAGTCTCATCAATTAATCACTGGCTTGACGCCTCCTTCCCAATTGAGATTGACGTGTCAATCTCCGTCTATTTCTCACATCAAGCCAAGATTCCTCACAGTCCTCCTCCTCACTCGAAACCTCTCGCAGGTTTTCCTGATTAACTGTTCCCGGCTGCTGTGTAATCAGAGAGGGAGATTCGGGGGAGGACTCTGACACCTTCAATAAATTAGGTTCGTCTCTCATAGCTAAGTCCACTTCCTCATCCTGGCTACCTTCCAAATCACTCAACAATGCAGGCTCAAATCTCAGTGCCAGATCCTCTTCAGTCGAGCTCACATCTGCTGACGGACCAGATTCAAATCCCGGAGTCACAACACCTAGCCAAGAGTCATCAATCATGCTCTCCAGTTCGAATTTTGCAGCGGCAGAACCTTCAGTCACCTAGTTGCTAACTTTGAAAACTTTTATGGAATCCCCTTGAGTTTTGCAAGCTGGGAGGGGGGTCCCTTCCTGTTGGCAACTCTAAAAGGGCCAGAGAAATGTGAGTTGACACTTGGTTGCTCTTCTCTTAGCGTGAGGGAACGGAGGTTGGAGGGCATCTGCCAACCGTCCATTTTGCTCTTCTTCTCCCTGAATAGCTATAAGGCTGGTGATCGAGCCCGCCCCAGATGTGCACGAAGGGCAGCGTGTCTCTCTGACCTGTGAAGATGCCAACTTCCAACCGTCGGCCCTCTACACCTGGTACAAAGATGCCAGGTGGTTGGCAGAAGGTTCGGCCACTTCCTTCCTGCTCCGAGCTGTTACCCCCCAGGACATGGGATCCTACTCTTGTCAGGCTCAAGACGAAAGGGGCATCAGGATGTCTCCACCCGTCGCTCTCTATGTGCACCGTGAGTACCTTCTGGCTTTGGGGTGTTGGAAGAAAACATCCTTCTGGGTTCAGTTCCAAGTGGGGAAGAAAGACACTGGAAACATGGCGACTGCTTGGAAAGATGGTTTAATGGTGGACAGGATCAGAGGCCTTGGAGCTCTTGGGTGAAGAAAAAGGGAAGAGATGCTGAGAGTCCCTGGTTTTTATGCCTTCTCTGGGATTTGAACTTCCTGGAGCACAGGAAGAATATCCTGATTGGTTGCTGTCAAAGGTCATAGCTAGCTCTGTAGGTTGTCTGTGCTGGTTAGACAGTATATAGATTGGGAATGAGAGCTGTCCCCTTAAGGGAATGCTTCATGGGAAATGTAGGCAATGCCTCTTGGGAGATGTAGTTCATGTCACATGGTCACATCTGTAATCTTGATTGGTCATTGGATTGATCTCTGGAAGGTTGAGGGAGTTTGGGGGCATTCTCACCTGGACCCCAGCATCGTGCTGGAGTCTTCCTTTGGTATATCGCTATGGGATGAAGATAACCGTCTTTTCACACTATGGAGGCAACTATTAATGCAAAGATTGGACATTAGATGAATCTCAGCATAACCGTTATGCCTTTAGGATGCCTGATATAATACAATAAAGTAACTTTGTAGGGAAGCCTTTGTAGAGTTGAACTGCCTGACTCTATATTCAGCCAGAAAATTAGAGGCTTGAAATTGTCCATGTACTAAGTTTGGTTGAAACTTGGTGGGTGGTACAATGAAGGGCAATCAAATGGCTCTGCCTGAAGGGGGTAGGTCTTTGTTATGTAGAATAGACCGGCTCAGACCTTAATGGCCCATTAACAAAGGTGGCAGGGCTGAGTTTCTGCCTCTCTGAGTTTCTACTTCTCTTTTTGGGGAAATATTCTGCCTTTTTTAGTATATCCTAAAATATTTCATTTTTCGAGGAGAGGGGTGGGTTTTAACTTCCAACAGGGATGGAGGACAGAACTTCTTGTCTGTCTGTCTGTCTGTCTGTCCGGACCCCATATACTGCCAAACCCACAGTAGTCTTGTTAGAGTTTGCAGCATAAATTCAAATCCAGAAAACGCACAGGTGACTGATTCAGCAGGATCATTAACTTCTTGATATACACGATAACTACATGTACAATACCATTTGTAGATTCTTTCAACGTAACATAAGCAAAAACGCAAGCAGAAGCAGCAGCAGCAGCAGCTCAGAGCAGGACTCGGTTTCAGCAAGCAAGCAAGTTAGTTTCCCTTTCAATTCTCAGCAAAGTACACAGAGCCAAACCGCACCCAGGCGGTCAGCTCCCATTGGCTGGCCTGTTGCCACGCTCACCTTGTTCACCATGACTCTGCCAGTTAATGAATATACTCTGACAAGTCTGTCCTCCGCCTTGTTTCCAATGAACTGCTGCCTTTGCTCCTGGGGGAGAGGAGAACTACTGACTGGAGAAAGTGGCAAGGGGGCTTCAGCAGGTCTGGAAGTCACCTGGTTGGAAAGGGGAACAGAGCCTTTTGCTAAAGTCAGGGGCCCCTAGAGGGGCCGTTTTACACTAATGCCCTATCATGGTTGATCTGGGCTTCTGAGGTCATGGATATATATATATATCCTGAGGAGGTAGAAAGTGGGGAGAGAAGGAGAAAAAGACAAGGAGGAGGAGAAAGGAGAAGATAGACAAGGAGGAGGAAGGAGAAAGAGACAAGGAGGTGGAGGAGAAAGTAGAAGATAGAAGGTGGAGAAAGAGAAAGAAGAGAAAGACAGAGACACGAGATAAATGATGAGAAGAAAGGAGAAAGGAGGAGGAGAAAGAGGCAAGAGATGGGAGAAGATAGACAAGGAGAAGGAAGGAGAAAAAGGAGGAAGAGAAAGAGAGAAGGAGGTGGAGGAGAAAGGAGAGAATAGGATGAGAAAGAAAGAGAAAGAAGAAAAAGAAAAAGAGGCAGGAGAAGGCAGGAGAAAGGAGGAAGAGAAAGAAAGAGGTGGAGGAGAAAGGGGAAGATAGAAGGAGGAGGAGAAAGAAAGAGAAAGAAGAGAAAGAGACAAGGAGGAAGAGAAAGGAGAAGATAGACAAGGAGGAGGAGGAAGAAGGAGAAAGAGACAAGGAGGTGGAAGAGAAAGATAGATGATGAGAAGGAAGGAGAAAGGAGGAAGGAGGAAGAGAAAGAGACAAGAGAAGATAGACAATGAGAAGGAAGGAGAAAGGAGGAGAAAGAGACAGAAGATAGATGATGAGAAGGAAGGAGGAGGAGAAAGAGACAAGAGATAAGAGAAGATAGACAATGAGAAGGAAGGAGAAAGAGGAGAAAGAAAGAGAAAGAGACAGAAGATAGATGATGAGAAGGAAGGAGAAAGGAGGAGGAGAAAGAGAAAAAGACAGGAGAAGATAGACGAGGAGAAAAGAGAAAGGAGTAGAGGAGGAGGAGGAAGGAGGAAGGAGAAGATAGAAGGAGGAGAAAGAGAAAGAAGAGAAAGAGAAAGACAGGAAAAGATAGACCAGGAAGAGGAAGGAGTTGCTAAATCTCCAAATTTTGATCACTTGACCACGGGGGATGTTGCAACGGTCGTAAGTGTGAAAAACAGCCCCAAGTCCCTTTTTTCACAGCCGTTGTCACTTTGAACAGTCCCTCAATGAACCTTTGTAAGTCAAGAACCACCTGTAAGGGATGCCCGTGGGCAACCGGCGGCTCACACCTGTCCCAGAAACGGGGTCTCCTTTTACGGCTGACGTCCCGCACTTGGTCTTCTCCACAGATGAGCCCAAGAAGGTCACCCTTACCTCCTTCCTGGAAAGCTCCTCGGGCAACCAGGCGGTCCTGCGGTGCGCCGTGGAGAGCTACCCGGCCTCGGAGCTGACCCTCCACCGGGGAAACGTGTTGGTGGCGGCTTCCAGCAGGCACTCGGGGCACCTGCCCGCTCAACGGTACGTTGTCCACGCCTCTCACAACGTCCTGAGAGTGGAGATCCAGAAGGTCCTTCAGGAGGACGAAGGGCAATACCTCTGTCTAGCTAAGAACGCCTACGGGACGTCTGCAGCCTCCATCCACCTCAGGGTGCCGAGTGAGTAATTCTCCTCCTCTTTCTACTCTATGCCAGACTTCCCCCAAGCCAGGGAGGTATGTTAGGTGGCTCAGGAGGATGGGAGTTGTAGGCTAAGATCTCCAACAGGATGCCATCTTCTTTTTCTTCTTCTTCTTCTCCTTTTCATTTCTCCTCTTCCTCTTCCTCCTCCTCTCTTTTTCCTTCTCCACCATCCTTCTCCGCTGGCATCACCTCATCCTCCCCTTCCTCTTCCCCCTCCTCTGCCTCTTCTTCGTTTTCTTCTTCTGCTTCCTCTTCCTCTTTTTTCCTTGTCTTCCTTCTCCTCCACCACCTCTTCTTCCTCTTCTTCCTCCTCTCTTTTTCCTTCTTTACCATCCTTCTCCACCACTACCCCTCCCCCTCTTTCTCTTCCTCCTCCTCTTCCTCTTCTTTTTCTTCTTCTTCCTCTCTTCTTCCTTCTCCTTTCCCTCTGCCACCACCTCCTCCTCCTCTTCTTCCTCTTCCTCTCTTTTTCCTCCTCCTCCTCTTTTTCTTCCTCTTCCTCTCTTTTTCCTCCTCTTCCTCCTTTTCTTCTTTTTCTTCTTCTTCCTCTTTCTCTTCCTCCTCTCTTTTTCCTTCTCCTCCTCCTCCTCCTCTGCCATCTCCTCCACCACTTCTCCTCCTCCTCCTCCTCCTCCCCCTCACTTTTCTCCTCCTTCCCTTTGACCTTTTCCTCCTCCCTCTTCCTCCTTTCTATTCATCAAACTCATCATCAGAGTTGGAAGGGAACCTTGGAGGTCTTCTAGTCCGACCCATTGTTGAAGCGGGAGACCCCATATGATTTCAGACAAAGGGTTGTGCAATCACTTCTTGAAAACCTCCAGTGATAGAGCACCCTCAACTTCTGGTGGCAAGCCGTTCCACTGCTGAATTTTCCTCACCGTTAGGAAGTTTCTCCTTAATTCCAGCTTGCTTCTCTCCTTGATTGGTTTCCCTCCATTGTTTCTTGTCCTGCCCTCAGGGGCTTTGGAGAATAAGTCTTCTTTGTGGAAGCTCCTCAAATATTAAAAGATTGCTATCAGGTCACCTCTAGTTCTTCTTTTCATCAAACTAGATATAACCGGTTCCTGCAACCGTTCTTCATGTGTTTTAGCCTCCAGTCCCCTAATCATCTTTGTTGCTCTTCTCCGCATTCTTTCTCATGCATGGGGCCTTCAAACTTGACAGATTTAAGACTTGTGGACTTCAACTCCCAGAATTCCTCCTCCAGTCATGTTAGCTCAGGAATTCTGG